ATGGTTTACACATTTCTTAATTTGATTAGTTAAGAGGAATAACACATGAATGCACATGAGGAAAATCAATTAATGATAGACGGTGTAAAGAACAATATTTCTGTGACCTTTTTTGGATAAGAAACAGCATGTGACCTAAAAAGAGAGGCAGATAAGATTTTTGCTAAATAAGATTTTTATCATTGTATTGTATTACTCCACCTCTAGTTCAGACCTTATAGTTTAAATTCACTAATGATCCCTGTGCCGTTAGGCAGTTGTTCACTCCCTCGGCCCTGCAGCACATTATTGTCTTCAGACCCGTCCTGAGTTCTGTGGCCCTTCCGTGGGCAGAAAGGGACGTAACGAACCCAAGATTGGGTCGAGAGGCGAGAGGTTATGCCAAAGGGGAGGTCATATACCTCTTCAGTTCCCAAGGTGCTGCAAGAGTCCTCTACATGTACTTTGTCCCAGGCTAAGAGGCCACGCTCACGTTTGGTCCCTGAGAAAGTGGTGATAATTAGAAGAGGGCCGTACACCACACCTTTCTTTATAACAACACACATATCGTTAACATTCCCAAAATCTTAAAACATTCCATAATGTTTAGATATTAGAGGAGAAACAAACATGGTGGAAAGAAATTGCATGCCCAAAAGCTACACATGCTACTGCAGTTTGATTCAATTACAGCCTTCCAGTTTTGCTTACCAGGAATTGTGTTATCTAGGAAGAAGCCAAGAAACCCTCCGACAAACATATGAGTGGTCAGCAATATGTTTATCACTTGGTCTACTTCTTTAACACCTAAGTTACACACATAGGAGAAAAGAGAAAAAATACTAGTGCAAAATAGTCAAAACACGTTCAGTTAAGTTTTCTCACAATGAAAACAGAACAGTTTCATGCCAGCTAGCAGTAGTTGAGGTGAAAGCCATTAAAAACTAGTGGCATTTCCTGGTAGGTTATACCTGTTTTGAAGAAATCAGGATTCTTCATTATCCAGTTTGGAATGACGAGTGCAGAAAACATGGAAAAACCAAAAACAAATATATTCCTGGAGGAATTCAGGTCTGTGGACTGTAAAATGAGATCTGTCAGCAAAGTTCTGAATAGCAGCAAAGCTTTCAGGAACAATCTGGCTTAATATCAAATTATGTTTCACGCTGTTGTTTACCTGCAGATTAGAAATGCCCGCTGCAGTTATCACTCCAAACATGATCAGGAACATCCCTCCAAGCACAGGGCTGGGGATGGTTGCAAAAATGGCTCCAATTTTACCCAGCATCCCCATCAAAAGCATGATAACTCCACTCAGAAGAATTACCATTCGGCTACCCACCTGTCACACAAACAGACAGTTGCTTGCCGCCACTTGAAAACAACCAATTTATGAAGTTCAAATAAAAAAGTTAATAATAAAAAATAAAAAAAAACCAATTTATGAAATTATGCACTATAAATGAGTGTTAAGCTGGAGGGACGTTAATATTGTTGCGAGTATCTTACCTTGGTGATACCCAGGGCAGCCACATTCTCACTAAATGAGGTGGTGCCATTGCCTGTGCCAAAAGCCCCTGCCAACAAACAGCCGAACCCTTCAACACCAATGCCCCGGCTGATGGCGTGCTTGGGGGGAGGAGGGGCCCCTGACAGCTTGGCACATGCATGGTAGTCACCCACAGACTCTGCCATGGAGCATATTATTCCAGCCATTATACCAAATACACCTGCCAGGCTGACAGTTGGCATGCCCCACTGACCTGAAACCAGAAATCAAAATGATGATTATTGAAATTTAGACTTATTATCAGCAATATTGTCAATAATGGATTTCACTACACCCACTACACCTCTTGCTATAATATGACTTATGACCGATGTATTAAAGATAAAAAAATAATAATCTAAAAACATTTTATAAAAGACCGACACACAACAAAGTTATGTTGATAGTATTCTAGTGAATTTACCAGGATAAGGAAATGTGAACCAGGGAGCCTCGTTCACTACATTTCCTTTCACATCTGTACGGGCAAGGTGGCCATATTGGGCTGGATCAGATGGTAGGACATCATAGATTGTGAGGAGGTAGCAGACTAACCATGAGATCACAATGCCCAGCAGAATCTAATTAATATCTAACATTAGTATCAGTGTCACTATTTCCAGGAAACCACAAAATACAACAAAAGATGTATCATAAAGGCATACTATTACAGTCTAAAACATACAGGCATTATCTGGAAGATATAGAACTTTGAGATGTGAAGTTTCTTGGCTTTGCTATACGCAGGAACAGGGATTGGTATGAGACGGAGGTACTGAGAGAACAGGATGATCAGCACTGTGGTCCTGTGTGGATGAGAAGAGCTGTCATTAGCGTCATGATGACAAAAGACTGATATCATACTTGAGACCAGTAGTGATGAACACCATCCCGGCTGAAGGAAAATCTGGCTTTTCAAGTCCAGATTTCAAAGAGGCTTTGACTAACATTACCTGGCACAGCTTAGTTTTTAATGTAATTTTAGACTGTGACCTCCTGAGAAGGTAAGTGCTAAATTTGTAGTCCAATACTGCTGGTTCACACAGAATAAAAAATAATTCCCTTCCAACTGGGCAAAGAGACATTCACCATGGCAGCGAGCGGTTACATACATAGCAGAGATACCCCAGTGGCTGCCAAGTTTGACTCCAGCTGAATCGTACAGTGACAGGCCTATGAGAGAGACTGTGGGGGCAATGGTTAAGGGGCCAATGAAGCGCATGAGGAAGCCGATGAGGCCAGAGAAACCAACCAGGATCTGGAGGACAGAGGCTACCATGATAGAGCCCTGCAGCTGTGGACAGGGACACAATAACCGAGATCATTAGCATTAACATCACCACCCTTGCTTTGGCTGAGTGATTAGACTATAACAACAATATTATTGGGTTTTTATGAGTGGAACCACATGAGCTTACTGAATTAATCATGAGTGCCGCAGAAGTGCTGTTTTACGTCTTCGTTGGCTTGCTATTATTGAAAGTTGTGTCTGCACAGTGTTTGTGTTAGCTCACTGTTCTCATGCGGGTCTGCCACACTTCAATGAAGACAGGCGAGGAGGTGTTGACCAGACTGGCGTTTTGGGTCCAAGCCGGGCACTTCCATTCTGGCATGGACAACATGGCCATGGCAGGGGTCAACAAAGCAAATGTACCCCCCTGTAGGATGGGAAGTCTGTAAGTGTGACACAAACAGAAGCAATACCCTGTCAGACAAGAAGAAAAATAATTTACTGAGAAATAAGTCCAAAGCAAAGGACGCCCTATTATTTGTACTGAATCCATTTTTGTTATTAAAGGTTAAATATACAAAATTAATTTGCCACTAGATGTCACACTAGTACACCAGCATCACAGACCACAACAAGGGCTCCATAAAGACTCCATCGACAAAACCAGTAAAAGACGCTTTACCATTAAATCAGCTTGTATTTCTTCCTCTACATGCCACCCTCTCCCCACCACATGAATCTTTCTCCAGATCCACCCCTGGTGAAAAGGGCTACTATGGTTGCCATGTTCGGCCACTCTCCTCAGTTGTACATGGAGGGACTCACATGCACTAACATACATGTGCGGCCTGGCTTTCTAAACAAAGTACAGACAGGCTGGGATAGCAACACAGACAAAGGGAGTGTGGTGTCATTCTATGCTCAGTACAACATTACTGTTACTACCACAAATCTCTTATATAACCTTTATGGTTATCTGAAATTGTATGTCCAATAACATTCACAATAATGGCTGAGGGACGTTCTCCTACAAGGTAACAAGACTAGAGTCGGCCACGCAAGCATCTGTGCAAGGTTGTATTTGCAGTAGGCACAGCAGTGCTTCGAACTAAATGCTAACGCAAGCATGCTAACATTTAGCTGACTGTTTATATGTTCACTGTCTTAAAGTTTACTGTGTCAGCATGGTAGGATCTGTTACTTAGCGCTAAACCCAAAGCTAAGGCTGATGGGAATGTCATCAGTTCTGCAGAACTGCAGGATTATGCAGCTGCAGTGGGTAACTCTTTCCACAGTTTGACCAAACTTTTTCACATTTAAAGACTAGTGTAGTGTGTAGGATTGAGTGGCATCTAGCAGATTGCAACAATTTGAATACAGCGCAGCCTTCCAAGCGTGTAGAAGAAACTATGTGAAAAATGTGGCCTCTCTAGAGCCATTGTTTCGTTTGTCTCCCATGGCGGTTCAATCTGGTGGACTCGACAGAAGAGGACCCACTCAGGTATAACAAAAACAGAATAATTCTTATTTTCAGCTGATAATACACAAATGAAAACATATACCTATGAATATTTCATAATTCTGACCTGACGCCGAAGGTGACCTGCAGCAGGGTGCACAGGCCGGAGACAAAGAAAATGGTGTTAATGAGGTGACTCTGGGTCAGACTGTCGTGCTGCAGACACAGCCCCTCCGCGAGAATGAGAGGGATGGAGATGATCCCACCGAATGCTGTCAGGTAATGCTGTACAGGAGAGGATCAGTGATGAGAATGATGAATTGATGGTATTGATAACACTGCTACAAACACAGAACATGTTAAGAATACTGGTCTATCCAGTATGTCATCTTCTTTCTCTAGGCTGACATAAGGCACAGAGGGCTTGCATTTAGAATCACTGACAGCTACAAATGAAAAGGAATAAAAGTTTCGACATGTCATTTATTGCCCCCAATTACAAAGTGAGTTAAGCAAAGTTCACATTCAGAGATATCGCAGGTTTGAAATAATACTTAAGATGAAAATCAGCTTACACCCACCTGAATGGCCAGAAAAATACAAAGGTACCAGGGGGGAACATCAGTCACACAATAGGTTGGTTTATTTCTGTCTTCCTCTGCTACACAGCTGCTCCCACTTGTCTTTCTCTCCTTTCCTCTGGGCTGATCATTGACTCGTTCATCCATCTGCATCACCATATAAAACCATGCAGATGTAACACAAACTTTTACAAACGTCAATAACTTGTGTCATTCAAAACATTTTGGATTTTTAAATGTAGTGAGACAGATAGACATTTCAGGTAGATAGATGACAGATAGACAGGTTATTGTGTTTCTATCTTGGTTGCAAATGTGGAAATCCTAAAAATAAAATAAGATTTTGTGCTATGCTGGCCCTCCCTCTGCATTAGCTGTGAGAGCTTAGAGAGAATTTCAGCAAAAGTTGCAAAACTTTTAGAAACTTTCAACCTACATTACTCCCACTTTCTCGGAACCTTTGCCCAGGATTAATCAGAACTACAGAACTCCTTACTATTTAACAAGATACAGAAGCAAAAGCAATGTATCTTTCGGCAGCCTGCAATTCTGACTGCTTTTAGAATGAATAAAAATGTCTACATACGGTATATTTTACGTGAATAAGTCATTGTACTTACATTAAATGCAAGATTGTCAAGTCCACCGCTTTCTTTCCCTGAAGCCATTGCAACTACAGTATAAACCAAAAGAACTTTCTTTTGGTTTCGGAAGGCAGAGTTCTTCTAACTGGACTGAAAAATCCAATCCAACCGCACAGAAACAAACAGGAAGACTAAGTGCTCAGGAGTCAAGGAGGAGTAAGTCAACCTCAGTTCAATGGGCAACAATGACTAATTTGGTTGTGAGTTGTAAAAGTGTTTTAGTGGCAACGCAAAGTGATGACACATCATTCCCCTCTTTGTTATTACATTTACAGCTGGTAAGTGTGTATTCAGTGGGGGGGTACAATTCTTATACACTTATAAGTTCTCTTTTAATTAATTATCTTAATTTAATTTCATGCTTTACACCATGAGGTTTTGCTTACAATATCATACCAACATATATATAATATCTTGATGTACCTAGGTTGGTGTCAGCCTAACATGAAACATTAAAAACCACTTATAATCACTCAGTCACTTAGTTACCATTAGGAGGAAGGAGATGATTTTCAAATTTTAAACTTGGAATAGAGTGTTTATATTTCAAGCAATACTGGATGGAACAATGGATTGAAAAATAGGATGGATGGATGGATAGAGCAGGCTTCTTACTTTTTTCATTTACTCACTTCATGTTGAGGGAAAAAACCAGAAGAAAACTCTTAACCAAGGGCCCAGAGAGAACGCTGACAGTTTCAGCTTGATGCTTTGTTTGATCACGGATTTGAATTTAGCACGTACCTCAAACTGTCGCAGTAGGTTGACTGGACAAAATTGGGAAGATGGTTAGATAAAGAGATACAGTGCCTTCAAAGACTGGATGTTTCCCTCACTTAGGGGGAGAGAATGTGGAGAATTGATATGATCTCTCCGTGTCATGCTGATAAATGTGTCGAGGCAGGTGCAGCAACGCATCTTGGGAAATTATCAAGTGAAAACGAACTCCAGCCTCCAGTTTTAGACCAGAGTACCAGAGTGGTGTTTGATGTCAGGCCATAATAACCAAGACTCTCTCGCTCTCCTAAGACTCCTGTCAGTAAAATCCATCAACAGGATGTGCACAATATCTCTCCTATTCTCACTGAGTTGAATTAATGAGACTAGTAGAAACACTATCACAGGATAAAACCAGGTCAAACTGATACAACTTATCTGCCACTGGAGGGACAATCAACAGTAACACAGGCAAGCACTCTGAGATATTTACTATAATAATAATGCTAATATGTGCTGGGTTATTAGCGCGGTTGGACACTTAGAGTAATTTATATTCTTAAGGATGCTCTTTGCACAACAGCAAACTTTAATGTCATTTAAAGTTGCAATGTAGCACATCCATAACTGCCTGTGACATTTTTACAGATAATGCTGCTTTATTATTTTGTGAGTTATTAACCAGGCAGGTTAATTTTTCATGTTTTGAGTTTAGGGAAGCAATTCAGCCAATTTGTGGGAAGATAGTGTGCAAAAAGTGTTATTTGGCTCTGAAACCTTACTCAGCTCTCTGTTCATTAAAACACAGAGGTGTACTCCTTAAGAGTTATTTTGTGTGCCTTTAGGGTGGGAATCATCTATTATGTAACGGCTCCTGCTAATGCAAACTGTACATGAAAATTGTCATAAAACCCACAAGTGACACAGTGCTTATACAACTTTATACTGTGGTGTCCCTGTTTCAGTAGTATGACTTATAAGATTCATGTTTCAAAACTTCACATCATTTTGCACGGTAGTACAGACTAATTGTGACACATTCTGACAGGGAAAGGTAGGATGCAGGGATGTAAACACAGGGGGTTTGAAAGGAGCAAAGAACATTCAGTCAGCAAATGTCACAGTACATAAAGTATTTGTTCATCCAGCAATGAGCCAATGTCTCTCAGTCGAGCCTGGGAGAACAAGTAGTAAAAGGAAGCTCTTTGTTGCAACACATGGAACTGTGGCTGCAGAACATGCTGTATAGACTGTGTATCTTTTCATTATTGTCAAATAATTGGTGCAGCATGTTTCGTAACCTGACCAAAACTTATAAACCTATAAACACATGAACTACGTCCAGTCAAGAATCAGGTCAAACATGTATCATCTCTATAAAGGGTGTGTCCATGTTTATGCTTGTGGTACTCAGCAGGGAGATTCCCATGTTGTTATCTTATCATAGACTTTGTGGTATTTCAATGCCATCCTATCACTTCTCATGTATCTCTGTAGGAATGATAGCAAGCCAGTAGAGACTGACTCTGCCTGAGGAGGATCTGCAAGTGTTATGTCGTGAAAATTCTCCATAATAGCGATGAAGAAATTTGTCTTTGCAATAATTTATTGCAATAGTCCATCAATCATTTGCAAAAGGTCTGCCCAGCATGCTGTATTTCTACATGCAGGCTCATGAGCAGAGCATTTTGTAACCCTCAAACACTAACAGTTGACCTTTAATTGAAATATAGTTGCTCGGTTGCAGAGTTGTTTATTCATAGCTCTAGAGTTAAAGGCCGAGTCTCATACAGCGTCTCTCTCGATAACTGTTGGGAACCGCGGTTTCACACAAAAAAGTGTAACATAAGACAATACTCAGATTCATAAAACAATAAGAGTATACATTTCTATTCCATCAAACATGCATGTGTTTCTTGCTCAAGCTCCTCAAGCTAAGTAAAATCTGATTAATGGGCTGAATGGCTATTACTTGTCTCCAGCAGAGAGCCCAGACCTTTTCAAAGCAAACAAGTGCCAGCACCAATCCATTCAAATGTGAAGTCAGGGTGAGAAAAAAAAACACAACTTTGTTCCCAAGCTGCCATTGATCTTGACACCAGTGTGAGTGTCCTTGCAGAGAGGCAGGCAGTGCTATTGAGTTAAAGAATATTTTTGTAGATTTTTGTTACAAAGACCAACATACTTGCTGAAATGAAAATCAGAATTCAAATCAAATAATGCTTAAAGTTAAAGCTTGTTTTTTTTTTAAAGCTATTTTTCACATTTAAAAACCAGCATGACCAATACACACACACATCTCTGAATTTGTGTATTTGTTCATATTTGGTTGTTTTTGTAAGGGAACACAAATGGAAATTCAGCAGCAGTTAAACGGGATCAGAGATTGAGTCAGCATCACTCATGTGCCTTGAATATTTAGCAATCACTTTGCACAACAAACACAGCAAGTGTGTTTTAAATAAGTAGAACAAGTGTAAAAGATGTCCACTTGGAATTGATGCAAATTATGTGGTCAGACTCAGCAAATAAGGTCCTCAGAAAGTAATGTAAGTGATTTTCTGTAAAACAAATTAAAAGGAATATCTGGGTATGTGGATGTGTTATAAACACTTAAAATAAAGAGACTTGACAAACACATCAAATTGAAGTGTTTAAATGTGAGTTACTGTTGGCATGTTCACTCTTTGAATCATGGACAAAGGTTACCTTTTAAACCAAAAGGCCTCATTGAATGTCACTGATAAGTTGCACCTTTAATCTTTTAAACCTGAGGAAGACTTTAAACAAAATAATCTGTTTTTTCTCTGTGTGCTGTCTCAATCCTGACTCCATACCACTTGATGTTATCGCCTCTGTGAACAATGCTTAACATCAGTGTCAATTTAACCAAAGAGCTGAAGGTCAGAGCGAGAAAGATGCTTCAGGGTAGATCAGTTCTTTAATATCATGTCAATATGAGAGACTATTAAGATAATTTATCCCTCTGTCTATTGGAGCAGTGGGAAAGCTATGAATCACTCTTCCTTTGCAACCAACATGTTTACATGTTTTATTCAAAATCTACAACGCTTTGCTGCATAGAAACAAAAAGACATCTCCTACATTGTGACGTTTTTTTACAACCACACGTCAACCTAAGGAGACAAAGTTGTTCCTGCAGGTATTTTGTAAGTGGTTTTCAAGTACTCAATCCCTTAATTGCAGTCCTAATTATGCAATGCAAGATATTCCCTAGTGAGGAAAAGGGGGGCCAACAAACTAAGGCCACTGAAATGATTACTGCTAAATTGCACTTCTGCTGTACACTGTGTCTAGGTGCTTTTCCTGAGCGGCAATTAGCAGGGAGAAATCAATGGCATGAAAAGCCTGTGCTAATTTGTGATTATAGGGAGCTCTTTAAAAACTGTGTCTCGGACTCGAATAGACACAGGCCTGTCTGTGCAGTCAGGAGGAAGTCATAAAAATGTGCATTTTGATTTATCGGAAGGTTAACTAGGTTTCCAATACAGTTAGATATTTTTTAATGTAATTTCTGCAACTGTTTGTTGTGCCTATGAAGAACAAACAGACAGTCTTTTCTCTGGAGAGCTTTTTTATGTGACATATGGAAGTCATATTGTCATAGTGCTACCAAAACAACTGCAGTGAGTCAGTAACAAAAGAAGGAGGAGAAGACTTGCATCCTTTAAAATAGTCTCTTATGTCAAAAAAGTGTTACATCCTTGGCTTTGTTTGTGGTTTGTCAATTTTTATCTTTGGGCAAATACCTCTACATGCAATCTGCCATCAATGTGCAGAACAGCAGGATCACATCATATATTGTACAATGCATTTACAATTCAGTTGTTAAGCAGCATTAATAAAGTGTTTGATAGCCCTTGTGGAACATTTATATCACTCTCTTCTGTACAATTGCGCATCTGCCCAGCTGACTGAGTTGTGTAATAAGGCTAGTTTGCATTTACACATCAAAATCAATACTCATGATGAAAACCCAGGAGAGGAAAGCACATGCAGCAATACTGGCCCATTAAATTTCCATTCACTGCAGAGGTTTCTTACAAACGGTTTGTAAACATCGTTAGTTGTGTGGCGGCCAATCTTTCGTCATGTTTAGAGTAATGAAATATAAATGATGAAGCAGTTGAAATGAAATGATTCATATGAAAATGAGATGGATGCTATACTACTACACTAGTTTATTAACTACTTTAATAGTAATATACCAAAAGACCATTCTCTCATGATAATGAGTTAACTTACAAAATATGTAATACAGTCTCAGAGAACACAAATATATTGTTCAGGGTCAGACCTCCTGAAAACTTTGTAGAGCCTCCATCAGTGTAAATCACCTTTAGTTCAATTATAAGCAGTGTATCACATTTTTTAAACATAACACATGTTCTACTT